TGCTGCTGCTGCTGCTACCCTCAGTGCCATATATAAACTCAAAGTTGCAAACAAATTACTTTCGGCGCCGGGAGGCGGCTTTGGGGTGTACGTAACCCCAAATTAGGGTTTAGGGTTTGGGTGGGGCCCTTTAGAGGCAATAGAAAAGGGACTGTTTGCTGCTAGAAATAAACCCCAATTTGAGTTGCTGCTGCAGCTGCTTCGTCTGTGAAGAAATTAAAACGCAGCAACAGCAGCAGCAGCAGCAGCAGCAGCAGCAAAGGGTTTGTGCAAGTGGTTTGGCCTTGAATGGATTTCTTCCTTTGGTTTATTTTGCATGCAATGAGACATTTATAAACAAATGACGGAGGCCCAATTGTATAATTAAAATAAATGTTTATTTGTGAAATAGATTTTAGTCCAAAATGCATTTTCAAATTCGTGAGATTTGTGGCTACAAGCAGTGCGGTGTACGTACACCTCGGCCAGCCTAGGTGCCTCTTTTATTTTTATTACTTTTCCACTTTATTTATTTCTTTATTTATTTCCATTTGTTTGCCTTCTTCGTTTTCAAACAAAGACTTAAACTTCGCCGCTGCGTAGCGCCACAAATGCAGATTCAGGTGTACGTACACCTTAGACTGAGGTGTACGTACACCTCAAATCCAGGTGTATGTACACCGCAAATTCAGCTGAGGTGTATATGCACCTCAAGTTTAGCTGCACTTAACGCCTCAAATTCAGCTGTACATACACCAAAAGTTCAGATGCACTTAAAGCCTAAATCTGAGGTGTACCTACACCTCAGGTTCGGGTGTACATCAACCCAAATCTGAGGTGTACGTACACCACAAATTCAGGTGTACCTACACCTGAATCTGAAGTGTACGTACACCCGAGGGCCTGGAGCGGGGGCGAGATATGCATGCGCTGCTCAGGTGTATTGAAGTGTACAGAATAAATATTTAAAAAATAATTTCATTTTAATTTGTAGTGAACTCGGAAGTGCGTGGAAGTGGAGCTTTTCAAATTTAATGTATTTTTGAAATAACTTCTTTTTAATTTGAAGTCCTAAATGGAAATGCAGCTTTTCAAACTTGAGTGGCCGCAGTTGCAGCCCTATGAATATATAAATATATATTATATATAATACATATAATATATATTTTGTATATATGTATATATATATAATATATATAGATATTATGTATATTTATGTAAACGTATATCCATATATATATGTTTAATTATATAGATATGCTTATGTATATTATCTATATACACATAATGTATATATGTAATAAAATTATATATGTATGTATGTATATATATGTACATATATGTGGCTATATGCATATATCTATGTATTGGCCAAATAATAAACTTCATTCTTATTTTAAAATAAAACAGAAAATAAACTTTTGCATTTGTTTGCTGCTGCTGTCTGCCAGAAAACTCTACGGGGGTCGCAAAAAGGGTTTAGGGTTTAGAAGCTAAGGGTTTAGGGTTTAGGGCGTACTGGCTAGGGTTTAGGGTTTACTAGCTAGGGTTTAGGGTTTACTGGCTAGGTTTTAGGGTTTACTGGGTAGGGTTTAGGAGTGGCAAACCCTAGAGCAGAATCTACAAACCCTAAACCCTAGCGTAGACCCTAAACCCTTAATCCTAGATCCTAAACCCCGAACTGCCCCAAACCCTAAACCGTAGCCCAAACCCTAAACCCTAAACCCTTGAAGAGCAGATGCAGATGCAGCGTTTGCCATTACTATTGGAATCTCTTTAAAATAAATAATTAAAAAATCGGAGCAGCAGCAGCTGCTGCTGAGATCGAGGTGTACGTACACCCCAGTGCGGCTCCCCTGCTGCTGCTCACTCTTTGACTAAATCCCTCGAAGCAGCGGCAGCAGCAGCTGCTGCTGCTGCTGCGGTTGCTGCTGCTGCTGCGGCTGCTGCTGCTGCGGCTACTGTGCGGTGTCAGCAGCAGCAGCAGCAGTCGCCGCTGCTGCAGCTAGTGGTGCTGCAGGAGCAGCAGCAGCAGCGGCCGCTGCTCCAGATGCTGCAGCAGCAGCAGCATCACAGCTGCAGAAAGGCCGGCCACATGGGTACAGCAGCAGCACAAGCCAAGCTAGGGGGCCCCACAGGGGGGCCCCCGGGGGGCCCCCCCCGGGGGCGCCCCCAAGGGGGGC